GGTCAATATATAATTTTGATCTTACCCAAAAATCACACTGATGCCAATCTTTTAGTATCTAAAATCTAAAGGTTTATTTACACAAAGAAAGAAAAAGAAAAAGAAAAAGAAAGGTGAGAGTTAAAATTGTTTAAAAGGAACCAATTACATACAGTATTGGCAAAGTTCTTGGTTCACGCTTGTAGCAGTAATGGAATAAACTGCTGGCTTAAGTCAAGTCTCTGGAATACATCCACAGCTTGGATGGGTCATTCAGTCCTTTGTTCAGAGCTTCACTTTATAGCAAAGTTCCTCCAGAGGTAAGAAGCAGGATTGAAGACAAAATGGAGGTGTTTCCAGGGCCTTTTATAGCTTTTGCCATGTGGAAGGCATCCCATTGTTCTTACTGTGGAAAATTACAGCAACAAGATGGAATTTGGAGTCATATGGGCAAGTCACATGTTCATGGCCAATTTCCCTCAGTCACTGCAGGAAGCCATTACCTACACTCCAGACAGCACGTTTACAGGACAGTCCACTCAGTGTAGATGGGCATCTCCGATGGTCTGTTGTCAACCAAGTGTTTCTTGATGAACCACTTAACTTGAATAGTCCCTCCAATATGTGCTGGCTAGCTACCTTGTAGGCGGTACCCCAGGAGCCAACATTTGATATCCGGCTATAGAGCCAATATTTATTACTACAAATACAAAAATGATACATGCCTACAGATAGCATAATCATAACCAGCAAATCATAACCTTTTCATAGACACCTCATTTGGCAACCCTTGTACAAAATTTGCTGCAAATATATAAAAGTGGTTGCAATAATGATCTATATGGTCATATTTTAATCAGATAATGTCACACCATGTTATGTCATAGGCTTGCTAAGCCAAATTGAATCATAGTACATGATAAGGTTCCTTTGAGGCCTAGTTCTAGATTGGAACAGCCCCACTGGAATACAGTTGTGTCCTAGCCATATTATTCAAGGTTTGTTTTTTCCTGTGTAGACCAGAAAAGAAGAGACAATGATGACCTAGAGGAATAAGTTTAACATTATGGAAGAAACAGAACGGAAGGAAGTGAAAAAAGAGGCTGAGAAGAATGGATCTGAGCCACCATAGAAAACCTTAGGATTTTTTGTGATATGTAGTCATACTCTGCAAAACTAAGGACCCATTATTGTTTGAAATGGATAATAGGAACATAGAAATTCCCATACAGGATCAGGTGTGATTCATCTAATTTGGTATCTAGTTTCCAGTAGTGACTGATACCAGATGTTTCAGAAAAAAGTGCAAGATAAGTGACCTTAAAGGATGTTATTTCCTAATCCTAGGCACTTAGACCTTGTCTACCCTAGCATGATTCTGAAAACTCTACAGGTTCTAGAGAAAACATTAGCATAGACAGAACACAGGTGCTTTTACCAGTGTCATTTAATACTCCATGCTACAATCTTCCTGAGCTCACTTGCAAAGTCCCTATTCAATCCATATTTAAGTCCCTCTTAAAGACGACTTCCACATGGTGCTTACATTGAATAGTCGAGTTGTGTGTCTGTGTGTTGCCTGTTATTCTACATCCTTTAATCACCATTAATTGAAAGACAAATATTTTAGAAGGAATATAAATCCTCATGTTTTAGAGTATAAACCAACCTCTAAGATATTTTTCATTCTGTCTAATGTAACGTTTACAGGACAGTCCACTCAGTGTAGATGGGCGTCAGTGTATGGATGGTCTAATTATCAATGCCTAAACCTTTCTTAAATCATCATAAGCTCTTACCAGCAAGATCTTGTGGCAGAGTTCCATAAATTAATTATGCATTTTGTTAAAAAATACTTTAGTATTTTTTGTTAAAAAATATTTTTCAAATTTGTTGCTTTTCAATTTAATATTATTTTTATATTATTCAATTTTAAATATATTTTTATATTATGACTTGAATCTGAAGAAGTGAGGTTCTTACCCACAAAAGCTTATGCTCCCAATACTTCTGTTAGTCTTAAAGGTGCCACAGGACCCTCTGTTGCTTTATATTATGAATGAGATTCATATCTTTTCAGTTGGTACATACCTTTTGTATTTTGATAACTTGAGGTGGTTTTCCTCCTCCCTTTTTTGATTAATGCTTTGAATTAAATTATTTTAAAATGTTACATCTGAATGACGTTCCAATGAAATCTTTTTTCATAATGTTGAGTTTGGGTTTTTTTGGTTGGTGTGTGTTTAAAAAAAAAATTCAGAATGTCTGTTTGAGTCTCCATGATGATTGGTAGAATGTCTCTAAGTTTTCTAATATATGTGAGAATTTGAGTTTTTGAAATATTTTGCTGTTGTTCCCCTCTTTTGGGATTCTCTGCAGGCAATTTACGTTAGTCTTTATACAGACAGATGTACATAAACAGAAAATGTTTTCTTTAAAGACACCATTCATGCAGAATTCACATTCTTGATTCTCAGCTTCAAGAGTGGGAATCCTGTGTCATGGTATCAAAGAAGCAGGATTACAGGTAATTATTTCCCCTTTATTATTTCAATTACAGTTTGTCAACATGGGTGTGCTCTCCTGGGAAGGGTTTCTTGGAGCCAGGTGTTGGTGTGAAGGCATGTTCTGTTGGGGCAGCATGGAAGCAAAGGAAGCACACATTGATTTGGTGGGCTAAGCTGAGTGAACAAGAACAAAGTAAACCCACGCTATCTTCTAGGGCTGCTTTAAGATAGAAGTGAGGTTGGTGCATATAGGCTGCCTCCAGGGCAGATAGCAGAGTGTATGTATGCTCTTGTGTGTGTAGGGGTGGGATGAGGAAACTCTAGGATACAATACAATAGGCACATGTTCTCTTTCTCAGGTATGTGTGGGAAGCTTTCTGGGTGGTGGTGGTGGTGGTGAACTTGAATGCCATCTTGGTGCAGCTATTTCCAGACCAGAGGATGGAGGCCATGAACACCGTTTATTGGGGACACAGGGAAGGGGCTACTTCCAGGCCAAGGAGGAGTGAGCTGCCTTGTATGTGTGTCAGGGTGACATTTCCAGGCCAGGTGGTGGTAGGCACATTTGCTTCTTGTGTGTCTGGGAGGGGGGTCTAGACCATGTAGTAGGCACCTAATGCACTCTTGTGTCTGTGTAGTAGGGTTGTTTCCAGACTGGAAGGTGTTTCGTGAGTTCATTCTCTCATGTGCACTATACAATTGCTTCCAGACTGGATGGCAGATGGAACATGTTCTCTTGTGTGTGAGATAGGCCTGCTTCCAGGCTGGATGAGTGTGAGAAGTAGGGTGACCAGATAGCAAGGGTGAAAAATCGGGACGGGGGTGGGGGGTAATTGGCACCTATATAAGACAAAGCCCCAAATATCAGGACTGTCCCTATAAAATCGGGACATCTGGTCACCCTAATGAGAAGCTAAAGCTCTCATAGTTCTGTTGGGGAAAGGTATTATATACTAACTCCAATTTCCAGCCATCACAAAATATTCTGCTCCCAAAACTCTCTCTTCCAGTAAACAGGTGTAAAAACTCCTGGTTCTGAAGCATCACCTGCAACGACCAAGGGGATTGTCCTAATACAGGGTGGCTGAAAAGGAGATCACACATCCCCACAGGAGTGTGCACTTGTGGGGAGTAGATGGACTTCAAGACGAGGGGCATGGATTCTTGGGGGTCACAAATAGAGGTGGGTACATGCCGGGGAGACGATGTGACCCTAGCAGTTGTGAGGGCGATCGTGCTGAGGGCCAGAATTACTAGGTGCTGTGGTGATGGGCATGGTGCTGTATCACCTCAGGTTAGCACAGTCGCATGGCGGAGCAGATCGCTACAGAGGTGCAAGGGAAATGTGGAGTGGTTAGGCCTGTGCGTCCCTCTGGGGCTGGCGTGGGGAGCAGACCTGTTGGTTGGGACGGGGTCGTGGCGTGTGTACAGGGTGGCGCCTCAGGGGCTGATGCACGTGCAGGGCGGTTGTCCCGGCGCCCTGCAAACAATATGCAGCTGCCTCCTCCTCCCGAGCAGGGCTCACAGACTGCCACAAGCAGAGGGCTGCAGCCACGAGAGCCGCCGCCCCAGCGAGAGGAGCCCCTGGGTCCACCAAGTTTCAGGTCCCCGCCGCGCAGCGCACCCGAGCCCCGCCCCACAGGGGCCACGCAAGCGCTTCTCTCACCCAACTACACCCACGCTGCTTCCGGGTTCAGCGGCTTTCACAAGATGTCTGCCGCTCTTAGCGCGCCTGCGCAAGGGAAAGATCGGCGGGAGTCAGGGCGGCGCAAGCGCACAAGGGGCACCTTCCTGTCCCCATCCCCTCCCCTGTTCTCCGAGTCGCGGTTTGTTTGTGCCAGTGACCTCAGTGCGTCAAGCTCAGCAGCCCCTGCCTCGCTCACGACCCTCCCCCCGGAGAACGATGCGAGCAGGCGGCCCAGCTCCAGCCCCCCACACCTCTTCTCCCGATCCGGCCTCCCAGGGCCGCCCCCTTAACCACCTGCGCTCACTGCCCCAGCCCCTCCTCTGCAGCCCCTCCCTCACACGGGGCCCGCCGGGCAGGGGTGGGAGGGTAGCGGGGTAGAAGGTGTTGGGAACTCAGGTGGGCGCCCTAGATCATTCTGTCCCTCGCGGCGTGGGGTCTCTGGTGGTGACCTTCCGTGTCACGTGATGGGGTCCCGCCGCCGCCCTGAGCTTTCTGCCGTGTAGGGTGCCCCGGTCGCGCCTGACGGAGAGAAACCGGCAGAGCTACTGTTGTTGCCCCGGGCAGGCGGCTGTCTGTCTGCGTGTTGTCAGCCGCCCCGGCGAGGCGAGAGAGTCAGTGGATCTGGTGCGGGATGGAGTGCGGACTCCTGTTTGTGAAGGCAATTGGCTTAGCCACTCTAAAGGTCCTTGGGCTGTGGGGTCCTGCCGTGACCTTTGTGAGGTGTGAGCCGGGCAGAAGCCGGTGCGGGGCCGGTGCCTGGCTTGCTACGCGCCGAGACCCGCCCCCCCCCCCCCCCCAACCTTCGGCAGCTGCCTGTCCGGGGCACGCGCGGATTTATGTGCTGGGAGCGGGGAGAGGCCGGGCGGCTGGAGTGGCAGCGGGAGGCGGCAGGAACATGGTGAGCGACGGGGAGGGCACTGGGGAGGCCGGGCCCCGCTGGGCGTGCAGGGAACATGGGGGCTGAGTTCGAGTAGCGCAATGGGCTGGCGGGCGCCGCGGTGCCCGGCCCGGGGTTCGGCTAGTGACTCCTGTGGGGGCCGCAGTGTCTTGTGCGTGTGGGCTTGTGGGGTACGCGGGGAAGGAGATTTGTGTCCGCTGCGGGTCCCGCAGCCTGGCAGTGGGAAGGGTGGGCATGAGAGGCTCCTCGGTCTGTGTTTCCCTCTGGGTTTGGCGGGGTCCCCCTCAGCCTAGTTCCCGAGCGTGGGGCAGAAATGGTCGGTAGGTAGCTCTGTTTTCCGCTTCCGAGCCAAGGGAGAAGTGATTTTCTTCACTACCGCTGCACATTTCCTCCTGGGGTTTGAGGGTGTTATTCTGGACGTGGTCTCGCCATCTGTGCCTGTAACTCTTCGGCGTGGGGGGAGCATCAGGTTAACTCTTGGTGGCCAGGATCTGCCCCAACATGCTAATGAATTGCTGGGAACTGGCGTATGTTCTCGCTGGCTTTTCTTCATCCACCCACTGTAAGTAACTAATAGAGTGCCCAAGTTTATTCAACTTCAATGTAATACATTAGGTTTTGTTTGAGACTTAAAAGTAATAGCAGGCGTGGCCAAGTAAAAGAATGGGTAGGCATGAGGGCTTGAAAACAAACGGAATTGCTTCAAAATTGATCTAGTTCTGGTAGTGCACTCCCAGAAGTAAACTTAAACTGAGCTAAGCTTTTGTTAACTGTAAACAAGGAATATGCTAGGTGTTTGCACCTGTGTAACTAGTGGTATTTAAAATCAATTGAGTTACACAAGTGCAACTTTTCATGTAAAGACCAGGACTGAAAATGAATGCAGTAAGTATTTTGATATTTGTTTAGAGAGAGGAATCTAAAACATCTTTTATACAGAAACTGATTTTTTTTTTATTATTTGTAAAGATTCAAGAAAAAAACAATGGTATGTAAGCATGACTCAAACGATTCAGCTTACAGAGCCCAGGCACAAGGATTTCTATTAAATAGTTGTGAGGTGTAAAGCAGTAGTTCTCAACCAGGTGTCCTAAGCCTCCCATGGGGCTGCAAGCAGATTTCAGGGGGTCTGCCAAGAGGGCCGGCATTAGACCCATCAGGGCCTAGGGCAGAAAGCTGAAGCCATGCTGCCCTGAGCCCCGCCACCCAGGGCTGAAGCCAAAGCCTGAACAGCTTAGCTTTGCGGGGCCTCATGCAGTTGCCCTGCTTGCTACCCCCAATGCAGGCCCTGGCTTTTATATGCAGAAAAGCAGTTGTTACCGCACAGGAGGGCTGTGGAGTTTTTATAGCATGTGGGGGGGGGCTCAGAAAGAAAAATATTGAGAACCCCCTGCTGTAGGGTATTCTGGTAAATTATGTGCAGAAGAACATCTTTACTTTATTACTATTTTCATTATTCTATGGGTCACAAGAAATACCCTATAAAAACCTGTGGGTTTGTTAACTTACTGAACATGAGACTTCTGGAATACTTCCATGGAGAATTCAGATCTTTGAATCAAGATTGGTAGCAGAGATCTTGATATTGCCAAGAGAGGAGTAACAATTTATAATCGGTTTTATGCATATTCAACATTATAGTTTTAGCAGCTTAAAAATCTGATATAGTTTGAAAAAATTTCATAGCCCAAAAAGAGAGCTGCAGCTAAGAGAGCCAAATGGATCATGAGTTAGTCACTGTTTGACTATCATTGTTGTAGCGTATGGCTTTCTGTGAGCTGAGGGGTGAAAACATTGTCTACTAGTGTCTCCTCGCACCCACAATGAGGAAGAGACCTAAAGACTTCCTCTGTTGGACCCTATCCCCTGAACCCACTGAACTGAACTGAACTCCACCATAAGAGGGTCATCCTATCCTCATTACCTGGCCCACTTATTTATACGTATGATTGCCTATAACCCCTGTATAAGTGATGTACCCTCACTGCTTGCTGACTCTACCTTGATTCATCCACCTTGTACCCCCCCATTGGGGATATTGCAGACTGTATGTGTTATGTGCTATACAACGTCAAAATACTAACATCCCCCTATACTCTGTATGTTACCCCCGATGACTAATAACTGAAGTTTCAACACTCTGTATCATCTATTTGTAAACATTTTCTAATAAAATTTTAAATCTGTTCTTATCAGTTTAATTTCAAGGTAAACTTACCCCCCCCCCCCCCCCCATAGTGTTTTCAGTTATATAGAGACCCTTAGGATATGTTTACACCAGACTTTTGTGCCTTGAGTGACTTGATCACTTAGTTCACATGTGGAAGATGTGTCCATGCAAGCCTTCGCAAACGTTAAGTACCCTGAGTTAATTGTTAGTCAAAAGTCTGGTGAAGACAGGCCCTTAATGTAAGGCTATGGGCTATGCCTTCCTTGCTGAAAGTGTGTGTTTACAATGAGATAATGAATGTTAGCTATCTCACTATAAAATCCTGGTAGAGACAAGGCTCTGTACTTTTACCTTGATAGAGGTAGGCAGGATCAACCCCAGATGGGAGTGTGTAGGGTTGACTTTGACTAGTTACACTGAGGTAAGAACTACAGTCTTGTCTCCCCTAAGATTTTACATTGAGTTAGCTGTGTGATGGAATGGCAACCGTCCATCTTAAAAAACAATGGTGTAAGCATCGCAAGCACTTAAAAAGTCCAATTCTGAAGTGATAGTAGTTTGCCACCGATAATGCAGGCATAACCTGGGGCCAGAAGAAGAAGCTGGTATGCTGCTAGTGCTTGAAGCCTGCTACATTTCTCATCTCTCCATTTTCCTCTCTGTCAGCTATCTATCTTCAGTGTATATGACTTTCTGGTGCAGTACAGCCCTCTATTGTAGCCTGTTGCTTATCTGCATCTTCTACTCCTGAGGTAATTCTGCACCAAAAAATTAAAAATTCTGTGCACAATATTCTAAAATTCTGCATATTTTAATTGTCAAAATAATACAAACACTGTAACAATATAATCACACCATTTTCAACTATTTGCTGACAAGTATTTATTTTGAAATACATTACCAAAATAATTGAAAATAGTGTGATTCCCGGCTGCTCTGTGCAGGGAAGGGGGAATCTCGGTCTCTGTCCTCCCCTTCTCTCTGCGTCCCCCCCCTCGCCGCCCCGCCCCAGCTGGGACTAATGTCCCTGGGTGGCCGGGGCATCCCCAGACTCCTTACCCCAGTGAGTTTACCTTCCCCTGGCTGCCCAAACAGAGGTGTCTGAGCTGCCGAGGAGGGGTGAGTGAGTACTGGTGCAGCTTCTCTTTGCTTCCCCATAGAAACCATTTTCTGCAAGGAAGCAAAGAAAATCTGCAGAGGGGTGCATTTTTCTGCTGCACTACAGTAGCGCAGAATTTCTCCAGGAGTAATCTTCCCAGCTTGTAGTGTTGACACTGAAGGTATTCAAGTTTCTCTTGCAACCATCCTTGACTCTGAACCTAGGTTGGCCCAATGGCGTTGGAGCATCTGCAGGTTCTCTATACCGAAGACCTTTGGAATGTGTCCATCGTGTCCATCGGGCGCAGATGATCAAGCCAAGGAGTTGTCTGTGTTTGAGACTTGGTAATTTTGCTTTCTCAAGTATTTCAGTGTTAGAACTTTGGTTTCCCACATGACATTTAGAATACAGCAAAGACAGCGGGTGTGGAAGGTGTCTAGCCTTTTCTTACCTCTGATGTAGGTAGTCCAAGTCTCTCCACAGTGTGCTCAAAATGAATGTCTGGTACACCCTTATCTTGATGCTCAATGCTGATTTTCTTTTATCCCATATACGCTTGATAAGTTGGTCGAAAGTGGTGGCTGCCTTTTTGATGCAAGAATTAAATGCGTCCTCTAGATGTTATCCAGTACAACAGATCCTAGATAGTAGAACTTGAGCATGAATTTTACTCTGGTGCTGCTAGCTATTAAAATATCTGGTGCAGTCAACACACATTGTGCCATAATCTTTGTCATCTTTTGTTCAAATTCATCACAAATGAGTTAGTTATCAATGTAAAAATGCACAAAGACATAGCCATAGTCATGTTAAGGAAACTTGGTAGGGAATCCAATATAGTTGTATTTTTTGTCCATACAGGCAATAAGAATGTGTTTGGTTTTATAACCCTGGCCATGTGGTTGTTACCCAATCCAGAGTCTGAAAAACTTTTACCAGATGTCTGTTAAACAGTAAACTAAAGCTATTAGCCAGAGGCCACTATAATGTACAGAGATATACCTATCTCATAGAACTGGAAGGGACTCTGAAAGGTCATCAAGTCCAGCCCCCTGCCTTCACTAGCAAGACCAAGTACTGATTTTGCCCCAGATCCTTAGGTAGCCCCCTCAAGGATTGAACTCTCAACCCTGGGTTTAGCAGGCCAATGCTCAAACCACCGACTATGAAAGATGCAGGGGAAGGAGGTCTGGCTGTGAAGTCCAGTGTTGTGGTGAAAAGCCCGGTATGTCCCATTTTTCACGCCTAGCAGCTGCAAAGGGCAGAGGATGCTGTCCTTGAACTCTGCTTGAAAACTTAGTGTTTCATATCATCATCCAAGCTGGTCAATGTCTGAGTAATTTGGGGGATTGAGAGCCACTTCCTCTCCCAGCTGCTGGAATGGAGGAGGAGCAACTTTCTTTCATTTTCCTGGCACCTCAAAGCCACCTGCCCGAGGGGTTTCTCACAGATACCCTTTTCCTCTGTTTTTTTGGGTTGTACTTCCCAGTTTCAGTGTCTAGGAAGAGAGTTAAATTTACTTGATGCTTGACAGTTTCACTTTTGCTCTTAGGGCTCTGAATAGCATCAGCAGAACAGTTTTTTGCTAGCTTTACTTTTCTAGGGTGTGTCCACCCAAGAACTCTTTGCATAGTTTGTCTAGTGTAGTATCAATGCAGCTGCAACAGTGGAAAGCATTGGTGTAGAGCCAGACTAGCTAATAATGCCTCTGCTAGTGCTTAACAGACTGCG